TGGAGAATAACAGGGCTAAGATCCTGTGGGACTTCCAGATCCAGACAGACAGGCAGGTACTGGCCAGTCAACCATACATTGTGGTAGTAGACAAGGACCAGAAGACAGCAGTGGTGATAGATGTAGTGGTGCCAAGTGACATTAGGAAGAAGGAGTATGAGAAGCTGGAGAAGTACCACGGCCTGAAGGAGGAACTAGAGAGGATGTGGAAAGTAAAGGCCAAAGTGGTCCCAGTAAAGGCCAAAATGGTCCCAGAGGTGGTAGGAACACTCAGGGCTGTGACTCCTAAGCTGGGAGAGTGAACAACATCAGAGCTCTCTGTCTAGAAGAGTGCAGTGCTAGGAATAGCTAAGATACTGCACAGAACCCTCAAACTCCCAGGCTTCTAGTAAAGGACCCGAGAATGAGGAAGACACATACCACCCATAAGGGTGAGGGGGATGGAGAGAAAGAGAGATACACGCACAGGCACACATACACACAATAAAACAGAGGTTTTAATAAGTAATTAGCTTAAGATCAAAACATTATCGCATAATCAATACTTCAATGTGAGTTGCAGTGGTTCTTTTTTTAATATTTGGATGAAAAGGCCAAATAATTTTATGCTTTAAATATTGACATCCTAAATTGTAATTAATATTGAGAGAATTTTTTCTTTCCTATTTTCAATACTTTAAGCTATCTAAATAATAGAATGTTAATAATCTTAATCATATCATATAAACATCACTATATTGAAACAATACAATGAATCAAGATTTATGATACAATAAAAAGGGAAAATTTAGAGAAAGAGCAGTGATGCTAATAGCCACAGAAGGCAGAAAAGAAAAAAATCTGCAAATACCCAGAGTGCTTTGCATCTCTACTCTAATATTTTTTGTGTTATCAAATGAAGGTACTACTATAACCAGTAAGTTATTAACTCACTGAAGTTTTTATTTTACTACTGAACATGAAGCTTGCCTTTGTTTAATTCCCTAAAGGACTAATATTATGTAAATATGAATAACATTTAAATACTTCAAAATAATTCTCATAATGCTTGCCATTCTTACCCCGTCCTAAAACACAAACAGCCATTAAATTCGATGAATAGTAAGTGGAGTGAAACTTCAACAGTTCTTGCCTTACATCTATTCCTTCTTGGTTTGGTCTAGTTTCCAAAGTGAACTTGTTCCCTATAAAGCAAGAGTAAAATAAAAGATGTGTTAAAGAAAAAAGTTATAGCAGGGAATGGGGCATCCTACAACCAAATGGGAGGCTAATGCATATATTCTTCAGCCAGATCACAACATGAGTTTTGGAAAAGCTGCTGAGTACATTATGCACAATATGCGTGGAGTTCCTGTGTATGTTTCCCATACGATCATGGTGCTTCAGTTAGATGCATTAAATGTATATGATATGAATTGGGAAAAATAATTTGTAACTCAAGATTTAGAACTGAATTCTTCAGGGACAGAAAAGAATAGATGTTGTGTAGTGATTTCTACATTACCTATAGAGGTAATCAATTAGCAACCTCAAACCAAGATAGGAGAAAAAGTAGTATTCACTTATCACTTTAATCACAGTCTTCCTGATTCAAAAAACTATGGTTTACTAAAGCAAAAAAGAAGATGACGATGACATTGGCTAGAATGTTTCCTTTCTACTAAGAAGCCAAACCCTAGTTTATTAAGCCTATTTCTCATGGTATATGAACAGTGAACCTATAGTTAAGTGTTCACTACAAATCAAGATCAAGCTATGCTTTGTGATCCTAATGTGTTGAGAACATTTAAGCCTACAACTTGGTAATTTCAATTTATTTTTTTTTATTTATTGGATTTTGAGGCTGCCTGACTCCAAAAAGACTCTTGGTAGTTTACAATAATTAAAAAACCCCACAACTTAAAAAAAATAGGACCACCTGGACAAAACCACATCAGTAACTTTAAAAAAAAAATGGACAGGGGCTCCACGAACATCCTTACTCCAGGCCTGGGAATATCTTAGGAAAAATTTGTTTTTATAAATCAACTAGTCTTTTCTGAAGACAACTGCATGAAATGAAAAGAGAATACTCATCATTCCTTCCCACTCTAATGCACTATAATGTCTTAGTCAAGGAATAGCGAGGCTTAACATTAATGGTTCTTTTGCACTGCTGCTATAACCCGCTTGTCTCCTATGCTGCAACCCACTGGAAATGAAGTCAGCTTAAGTAGTCTTTATCTGGATCCATTCTTCAGCTTTGTGCCCAATGGGCTGGTAAGGGAAAAAAAAAAATCTGAAAACACTAGAGTTTCTATTTTTCTTTCTGCCTCCCAGACCAGAAGGGTAAACTGGTAGAACCGTTGCCAGTATGACCCAGTTTATGGGGGGGGGGAAGTCCACTACTGCTGGAAAAACTTTGCTTTAAAAAAAGAAAAGTCTTAACATTTTAGTATTCAATTGGTGAATATAAAAAAGAAAAAAAAGAAAAAGTCCAGTCTTTTATGGTCCTCCATGGGAAAGTCCCTTCCAACAGCAGCAGGTAGTCCAGCAACCCAGGATGAAATGGAAGGCAGTGGTCAGTGACTGGAGAAGGATGGGTGGAGGCTGACATTGTGTTGGGCTGTTCTTGCAGGTCACTAACTTATTTCTGAGCACTGAAGTTTTAACATGATTCTGTATTAATGCAAGGAGAGCAATTTCTACAATTTAGTTTTAAAAAATTAAATTGTCTAGTCAAAATGTAAGACTTTCTAATACTTCCACTGTCCTTTGCTTTTTTTCTGGCAGTGAAAAAGTAAAACCAAGGTTAGAACTTCTATTCCCAACACGCTGTCTCAAATGTTACTGCTATACAAAGTAAACCTACCACTCCAAGCTGACAAACTATAATAATGAACATAAACCTAAGACATGAAACAATAAAATAAGTGTGTGAAGACAACATCCTAAAATAATGAGAATAGAGACATATAAAATAATTAACTCTGTTTATGAACAGCTGTAATTATAGTCAAGTATGAATATAATTAAGAAGAAACAGTTATTAAACGTAACTCTTCAAGCCTACACACACTTTGATTACAGACTATCATTATTATAACAATATAAGGACCTGCAATACAGGTACCTAGCCTTGCTTTGTTTTGGAAAATGCAATTATTAAAGAAAAATATCATTTAAAAAACAACTTAAAATAAGAGCGTTCCAAATAGCATGCAAGACAAAAATGAACTTTTATCCAGTAATGCTGGATGACAGTTGCAGTAGAAGTCTTGACCTGGTGCCTAAAGGCTGTAAGGCTCTTGATAGGGAGGAATAGGCTGACTTAATCCAAGAAGGATGGAGTGGCTATTGATTCAGAAACTTTCTTGAGTCCAAGACAGTACCAACTTCAAGCCTAGATGGGGGTCATGCTCTGCAGAAGGAGCTAGTCCATAACTTTGGGGGCCTCCTGAACTCACAGATCCTGCCAAAAAAGGATGTGGAAGCCATACCCAAGAGAGCCTTTACTCAACTTTGGCTGATGCCCCAAGTAAGCCTGTTCTTGGAACAAGCACTAGCAAATCACTCATGCCCTCCTCACCTCATTATTTGGACTACTATAATACGGTTTATCTGGAGCTGCACTTGAAGACCATCTGGAAACTCTAAGTGGTACAGAATGCAGTTGTCTACTTGTTAATGGGAACAGCCCAATATTATCATATAACACTAGTATTGGGGGCACCACACTGATTGCCAGTTTGTTTCCAGGTGCATCTCAAGGTGCTAGTCATGACCTATGAATCCCTAAATGGTCGGTTAATCTATGAAAGCACTTACTCCAACTAGAATCTGCATACCCAAGACATGATGGCAGAGCATGCATACCATAAATTTAGACTATAGTTAGGTCCTTTGATTTCAATGGTTAGCTTGACCTGATGAAATAAACAATGCTGATGAATAGATGAACAAGATTTGACTTACTGTATGTCATCAAAATTACTTACAATTAGGTATTCCTTCCATTTCTAATTCCTTCCTTCTATATTTTCTTACTTCCACTGTCAGTGAATCAAGGAAATTTAATTACCATAATTCTAAAGGCTGCATCATCAAGAAGATTCTATACCCTATGCCATATATTTTTATTTCTATAATGACTGAATGTTTAGAAAGATGAGGAATCGTATCCCCATAGCTGAAGAGAACATATGATGTAAAATTGCATTCTTATTTACCTGTGCCAAATTTGCTAAATGGATGATTAGGATTTCCAGTAGCCTTTTCTAGCTGAAATAGTCTCCATGAATCATTCATTAAATTCTTCTCGTGCTCCGAATCGACAGCATTTACTTCTCTGTCTTTGCAGCTTTCATCAAAGAGAGGGCACAAGAAAAACTGGGCAAACCTGTATGAAGGAAGTTTGATATTTTCCAAATTAATGTACTGAATCACTGTAACATTTTTAAAGTTTAAAATAATATATACAGCATGGGAGAGTACAACATAGCTTTAGTTTTAGTTCAGGATGGATAACTTTTGTTCATTACCTTTTCATCCTTGATCTTTTACACTCTGCTCACGTCTATATTAATTTACTCAATTGGATCACTGTAGCTGGAAATTACAGAATGACCCCCAAGTAATTGTTCCACTGTAATTCACTTCATGGAGCACAAATTATCAGTTTAAGAATCTGAATTAGGTTGGGATGGGATGGGATGGGCAATCTGCAACCCATGTGGAACATCTTAGCATACATTTTGTGAAAGAAGGACCCAGCTGTCATGCAAAAGAAGGCCAGCACGAAAGCAGGTCCTGGCTGTGCCGGTATGAAAAGAGGACCATCCTTTTGTGTGCTGGCCGATGCCTTCTTTCATGCTAGCATAGCCGGGGCCTTCTTTTGCACGACAGCTGGGTCCTTCTTTCACAAAATGTATGCTAAGATGTTCCACATGGGTTGCAGATTGCCCATCCCATCCCATCCCATCCCATCCCATCCC